TGGTGCTGGAGCTGGCCGCCTGCCGCTCCCGCCCCCCTGCCGCCCCCCACCACGCCAACCCGGCCTTCCGCCGCTTCCAACGCAGCTACTACCGCGTCTACCTGCCGGCACTGGCCGCCGACTGGCTGCAGGGACCCTACCTCTACAAACTCTACCAGCTCTACCGCTTCCTGGAGGGACAGATCGCCATCCTCTACGTCTGCGGCTTCGCCTCCAGTGTCCTTTTTGGGTTGGTTTCCTCTTCTTTAGTAGATCGATTGGGTCGCAAAAAATCCTGTGTCCTTTTTTCCTTGACCTACTCGATTTGTTGTTTGGCCAAACTCTCCCGGGATTATCTGGTGCTGGCAGCGGGGAGGGTTTTAGGGGGGTTGTCCACAGCGTTGCTTTTCTCTGCCTTCGAGGCGTGGTACGTCCACGAGCATGTGGAACGGTATGATTTTCCGACCGAGTGGATTGCCATCACCTTCTCCCGGGCAGCTTTTTGGAACAACGTCATCGCCGTGGGAGCTGGAGGGGCAGCCGATTTCTTTGCCGAGTGGTTGGGGTTGGGCCCGGTGGCTCCCTTCATGGTCTCCATCCCCCTCCTGGTGCTGTCTGGGGTCTTTGCCGTGAAAAATTGGGATGAAAACTACGGGAAGAAACGAGCTTTCTCCAAAACCTGTGGCAATGGTTTGAAGTGCCTCCTCTCCGACCGGCGCGTCCTTCTCCTGGGCACCATCCAGGCTCTGTTTGAAAGCGTAATCTACATCTTCATCTTCCTCTGGACCCCCGTGCTGGATCCCCACGGCGCGCCCTTGGGCATCGTCTTCTCCGGCTTCATGGCCGCCAGCATGCTGGGCTCGTCACTCTACCGCCTGGCCATCTCCAAGAGGTACCATCTCCAGCCCATCCACCTCCTCTCCCTCGCCGTCCTCCTGGTTTTCTTCTCCCTCTTCATGCTCACCTTCTCTACCAACCCCGGCCAGGAGAGCCCCACCGAGTCCTTCCTCGCCTTCCTCCTCATCGAACTGTCCTGCGGGCTCTACTT